CTCTTAGAATCCTAGAATATTAGGGTTGGAAGAGACCTCAGGAGGTATCTAGTCCAACCCCCTGCTCAAAGCAGGACCAATTCCCAACTAAATCATCCCAGCCAGGGCTTTGTCAAGCCGGGCCTTAAAAACCTCCAAGGATGGAGATTCCACCACCTCTCTAGGTAACCCATTCCAGTGCTTCACCACCCTCCTAGTGAAATAGTGTTTCCTAATATCCGAGACCTCCCACACTGCAACTTGAGATCTTTGCTTCTTGTTCTGTCCCATCTGCCACCACTGAGAACAACCTAGCTCCAGCCTGTTTGGAACCCTCCTTCAGGTAGTTGAATGCTGCTATCAAATTTCCCCTCACTCTTCTCTTCTGCAGACTAAATAACCCCAGCCCCCTAATAATTTTCATTGCCCTCCGCTGGACTCTCTCCAATTTGTCCACATCTCTTCTGTAGTGGGGGGACCAAAACTGGACACAATACTCCAGGTGTGACCTCACCGGTGCCAAATAGAGGGGAATAATCACTTCCCTCGATCTGCTGGCAATGTTCCTACTAATACAGCCCAAAATGCCACTAGCCTTCTTGGCAACAAGGGCACACTGCTGACTCATATCCAGCTTCTCGTCCACTGTAATCCCCAGGTCCTTTTCTGCAGAACTGCTGCTTAGCCAGGCTCGTCTTCTTTTACTTTGTCCTCAATTCTTTTTTAAAGTCCTACGTTTTTCCCAGTTAAATTTGGTGATCCATCTGTGGTTACGTTTGCCAGTTTACTCCAGGGGAGCTTCAGATGTTCAAGGCAGCCAGACACCCTCTCATATAAATCTGATCCCTTAGTTGTGCCTTTCATTGATTCCATTGATAAAAATTCCTCTGTGATTTCAAATTTGTCGTCAATTCCTCTGACAAAAATAAGTAACTGTGCGGTGTCCTTAATGTCAGTGCTGTCATCAAGAGCTAACAGAAACAACATAAAGCCCTGTGCTTTCCAGTTCAACTCAGAAGCCAAATGTTCATCAATCACTTCTACATGGCGAGGAACAGTTCTTCGTGACAAACGAATGTTCTCAAACATGTTTTGGTATTCCGGGCACAGCATGACCGCAACATCACCCACGCATTCTTTCAAAAACTCCCCTTCAGTAAAAGGCGTATTTTGTTTAGCGATTTTAAACGCCAGAACATAACTTGCCTTTGTAGTGGCTTCCTGAACAACAGCTTGTCGCACATAAATATTTTGCTGAGTTTTTAAGTTTGTGGCGAGTTTCTCAGTTTTTCTTGCCCTTTCCTCGGTTGTTAAATTGCTACCATAATTAGGATGTTTCGTTGAAAAATGGTGATTCAAATTGTACTCCTTGAACACCGCAATGCTCTCCTGACAAATCAGGCATACAGCCTTCGAGTTCACGTTTGTGAAAAAATATTTTGCATTCCATTCTTTGTTGAAAACCCAATGCTCACTGTCCACTTTTCTTTTCTTTTTTTTGCAGCACTCATTTTTGAAAGGGAAAAGAAAATCCTAACTGCTGCCCTTATTTCAAACTGCTGTTTTACAAGATGGCAGGCACTGTGAAAAAACTGGGCCCTCTCTCTAGCCTGGATTTGTCGGGCGTCAGTGCCTCGGATAATTTTGAGCCATGGCGCTCTATCCCAGAACCCATGTGGACAAGAAGAGGCAGGTGTAAACTCACCTGTAACTTTATGCCCCAGCCTCCCCCCAAAAAATGTTCTCACTGTTATACTTTGAGTTCTGTTTGCACTGTTGCGTTCATTAAAAGTCTGTATATAGTAAGGGATGTTACCAAGATGGGGTGAGAGGACTCATGAGGTGTGGCACGCAGGGGGCTCTACAGAGGCGGTACCAGGGACTCCTAGGGGCCCTGCTGGCAGTGTGACACCAAGGCAGCTGTGCCATGTCCAGAGGCACCAGAGCTAGGACGGGTGCAGCTGCGGCCCCTGGGCGATTTCCCTCCACTTAAGGCTCTCGAGGGTGGGGCCATAGGACACCGGAAGGGGATTTGGTGCGCTGCTGCATAAGGGTGGTGAAGTTGCACCTGTGCAATGTGGCTCTTCTGTGTGCCAGAAAAATCTTCACGGAAAATGGTGCTCAAAGTCAAACTGCTCATCACTGAGTCAGGGGCTGGGAGCGGCGGGCGGAGCGTGGCAAGCCGCCGACTCCCGTTCCCTGGCAGGAGCACTGAGCGGAGCACGGCAAGCCCCCGACCCCGCTCTCCGGCAGGAGCTCGAAGGCCGGATGAAAACGTCTCACGGGCCAGAAGCGGCCCGCGGGCCGTAGTTTGCCCACCTCTGATCTAGACCATCCCTGACAGATGTTTGTCTAACCTGCTCTTAAAAACCTTCAGTGATGGAGATTCCACAACATCCATAGGTAACTTGTTCCACTGCTTAACTATCCTTACAGTTCGGCAGCTTTTCCTAATATCTAATCCAAACTTCCCTTGCTGCAATTTAAGACCATTACTTCTTGTCCTGGCCTCAGTGGATAAGGAGAACAATTTATCTCCCTCCTCTTTATAACGTACTTGACGACTCTTATATCTCCCACTCAGTCTTCTCTTCTCCAGACTAAACAAACCCAGTTTTTTCAATCTTTCCTCATAGATCATATTTTCTGGACCTTTAATAATTTTTGTTGCTCGCTTCTGGATTTTCTCCAATTTGTCCACATTTTTCCAGAAGTGTGGTGCCCAGAACTGGACACAATACTCCAGCTGAGGCCTTATCAGTGATGAGTACAGTGGAATAATTACTTCTTGTGTCTTTCTTACAGCACTACTGCTCATACATCCCAGAATGACCTTTACTTTTTTTGCGGTATTGCTGATTCCTATTTAGTTTGTTATCCGTTATAACTCCCAGATCCTTTTCTACAGCACTCCTTCCTCGGGAGTCATTTTGTATTTGTGCAACTGATTACTCCTTCCTAAGGGTAGTACTTTGCATTTGTCTTTATTGAATTTCATCCTATTTATTTCAGACCATTTCTCCAGTTTGCCAAGATCATTTTGAACTCTGTTCCTGTCCTCCACAGCACTTGCAACCCCTCTCAGCTTGGTATTGTCCACAGACAGGGCCGGCTTTAGGCCGATTCAACCGATTCGGCTGAATTGGGCCCCGCGCCAAGAGGGCCCCGCGCTGCAGCTCTCCACCCCGCCCCCAGCTCACTTCCCCCTCCTCCCCGAATGCTCCACCCCCTCCCCTGCTTCCCGCGAATCTCTGATTCGAGGGAAGTCTGAAAAGAAGCAGGGGCGGGCCGGCAGCACCAGGTAAGCTGGGGTGGTGGGGGCGCGAGAAGGGCTCCAGGGAGGCGCCGCCCGTT